AAGGAACACTTTGATTGTACCTTCTCAAAGACATATTTGTTTATTCTTCTGACAGTCCATAGGATATTCAGCATTTTTCTTCACACCATATCTCAAATTCATCAATGCTCTCCTGTAACTCTTTTTTTTTTTCTCCTGTAACTCTTATTCATAGTCTGTTTCTTGAATACATAGCAGGTGATTTGAAAAAGCATGATTTGTATCATATGCACCTGAGTCTTTAAATTTACATTATTATTCTTGAGGACTTTGGAAAAGTCTCTGAGAACAGTTTTCCGAATGTTTGCATCTCCTGATCTTCTGACTGCTGGCACCAAGGGTGTTGATTATGAGTCCAAGTAAGATGAAATAATAGACAATTTCAATCTTTTCTTTCTTTATGATGATCTTCCCTACTGGTTTAGTGATGAATATTTTTGTTTACTTGATGTTGAGATATAACCATATTGAAGGTTGTAGTCCTTGATCTTCTTCAGGAAACACCTCAAGTTGTCCTAGCTTTCCACAAGCAAGATTGTGTAATCTGCATAGAAATAAGAAACAATATAAGACCCAATTAAATGGGATTCCATGTTCATAAATAGTAAGACTGAACATTGCGAAAATGACAGTCCTACCAAAAGCAATATACACGTTCAACACAATCGTATTACAGCTACCAAATGCACACTTTAAGGAATAACCCTACAGTGATCAGAGCTGAGATACAAACATAAATATACACATCTATACACCTATATTCTAGCAGTGTTATTCACAATGTATGAGAATATAATCAACACAAATGCCCATAAACACAATAATGAATAGATAAACTTTAGTACATTTTATAGTGGAATAACATGAAATACTAAAGAACAAAGTAGTAATAAAATATGACACAGCATGGGAAAGAGTAAAGAAGATTATGTTGAATAAAGAACTCAGTCACAAAAAGACAAATACTGCAGAAAATCACTCTTATGAAACTTGAGGATAACTGATCAAGATACATATAAATGTTCAAAAGGGTAACGAGAAGGGCCGAAAAGGACCTGAACAAAGGGGAGAAGAAAAATGAACTAGGATAGCAGTGGTTGGATGGGAAAGTGAAGTACAGAAAATATGAAATGGGATCTTGAAGAAAGAGTATGATAAAAGGTATAGATTAATAGTAAATAATTTTCTAAAACACAATGTATATAAATGATTTTATAAAACAATGTACATGATTGGAACACAATGGATAAGAATGATTATATGAAAATCAACAAAAAGTTAAGAAAACCTCTACAAAGCCTAGGAGACAAAATAAGGAATGAGAAAAAATGGTGATGAAGACAGGTGGTGAGTACTGTATCATTCATTTAAATTCACAAAGATAAGAATTACAGCTGTAGAACAAAAGAGAAATATAATAAATA